CACAGAATTCGAGGCGGAGGCCCTCATCCAGCAGTGGATTTGACAACGGCGCTGTACATTATTATAATTATAATTACACGGACGAATGTGCGCAGTCGCGTGAGTGAAGATAGAAGAAGCCGGCTCGGCCACGAATTATGGATGATGGTGAGGTCAGGAATAGTGAAGGAGAGGCTGTCAAGGAATGGAGCTTCGTCTGCGAATTCTTCTATGCCGGGGAGATGGAGCGATGGCATCAGCTCGTGTACCAGTGCTAAGTGGCTTGATGCATCGCAGGATCATGATGGCTTTCGGAGGCCTTCATCCAGCAGTGGATTGTTCATGGCCGCTGCTGCTGCTGATGACGGTGTTCTGTCAGGAAATATATAGACATGGATGGATAATTAGATACGTAAATAGAGTTTAGATTCAACTCGTCCATGCTACATATTTGGCATTGTCTGTTTGTGACTGGATACTCAATCCTGACTTTTGTCAACTCTCTTACCCTGACCACAGATTTCTCAGGTAATCACAGTATACAGTATAAATGTGCGGTCGCCAAAAACCCAACACAGACGTTTCGGGCAATCCCCCTACTTCCTATCACACAGACACAAAGATACCAGGGACATGAGAATGAATAATGATAATTGTTGAAGACTGCACTGTACAGTAAAACATTAGTCGATCAACCTGCTCCTCCGCTTGACCTGAAAAAGATGTACCCTGAATAATTTATTTAGGGTACATGTTAATTAGGACTGCGGACGCTGAATATTACTATAATTCTATAAATGCACATGTTGCTGCGAAGGACACGCCTTTACCAGATACAATTGATTAATACAACGCGGGTACTGCGTCAACACGCGTGAATAATAACAATCACCACCACCATCATAATTTCAAAGCCATTTGTCAATCCCACGCTGAACGAAGGCCACCTCCCATGTCAAGTTGGTCACGTGGATTGTTGGTTCCATCCGCCACCGTTACGAGGTCAGTGCGGGTTGGTGAAGATGGGGCCCCAGGAGCGGCTTGGACATCACTCGCGACTGATGTTAGCCGTGGCAGGGACTCGCACTCGGGTGGAAATATTTGCGGGGTTCTTGGCGCAGTGTGCAAATACACCAACAACACTTGCACTCGTTAAACTCGAAATACCTTACACAGACGTCGTGTTTATCTCGTTATTTGAGAGTTACAATTTATTCTACGCTTGTGTATGGCAGCAATTATGTTCGGAATCCTAAATGCCAATGCCGAGGTCTCCTGGTCACGATGAGAGGGCTTCAGGAGAGGGAGAGAAAGTTGGTGGAAGGGAAGTAATAAAATAATAAAAATAAAACATAATCAAACAATTCTCACGACGTTTCGGCTACAACGCAAGCAGCCGTCCTCAGGTGAAAAATGAAACACCACCAAGCTTGGAGCGTATATTTAAGCTGCTGGTGTTTCATTCTTCACCTGAGGACGGCTGCTTGCGTTGTAGCCGAAACGTCGTGAGAATTATTTTATGATGTTTTATTTTTATTATTTTATTATTTCCCTTCTACGTGACTTTACCGAAAGAACCAAGAAGATGAATCCCTGCAGTCACGAAAGCTTTAAATCAAAAAGTTGGTTGCGTTTATCTGTTCCTGCTCTATTGAAGGAGCGCAGGTGGCAGTGGCTAACTCTACCGTCCATAGTTTAGGTTGCATAGCCACAATCGCACTACTGTGGTCTGTCTTCAATGTATCTATACTAGGGGTGTATGTATCTCTATGAGAGTCTCTGTGTATCTCTGTGTGTTTCTATGGGTTCACTACACGGTCCATAGTTTGGGTTGTATAGCCACAATCTCACCGTGGCCTGTTTTAAAAAAGTTAAATAGTCTTATTCGACATTTTCTTTTTAAATTCGTTATCTCTCTCTAGCGTCATTGCTAAACATTATTGTTATTATAACGACGCATGTTTACGCAAGAAGTCTTCAGTGAGTCCCAAGACTATTTAACAAGCGTCCTGCCAATTCAAGAAACTGAAGGGCATGTAGGCCTACAGTATATTGATACCAGGGGTTATACACACTCGTTAAATGTAAACTATTTAAATTTACATCGGTTTGTCGGAAAATAATCCCCCAGGTACAAACATACAAAAATACATACACGTACATACTTCCATACGGACAGACATATTCACATACTAGCATACAGATGTAGTGACACAGCACTGACTGTTGTACAGCAGCTGCAACTGCAGGTGGTCACTTAGCGCACACGCCGTTGAGCATATACACAGTGTGTGTGCCGGCAGGGCGGAGGAACTGGGTCAAGGGTCATGGTAGACCTCGTGGGGAGGCCCCTGGAACCCTCTGGTGGCTTCGAGAAGGGAGGCGAGGCTAGGGCGGAACCAAGCCACGCCGAGGGGCATAAAAGCAGCTGAGAGTGAGAGCCCTGGGCTGTCGGTTGTGGAAGTGGACTCGTCTCTTCGTCGCTGTCGTCGCCACCACCTTCGTAGCTGCCGCCTTCGCCCGATCATTGCGCGGCCGGACAGTCGTTGGCTGTCCCGTTCGACGAAGTCGGTGCAACGCGGACAGGGTCGTGTCTGGGACTGGTCGTGCGGCAGCGTGGTCGTGAGAGAGAGGGGGCTCGAGTTGGTGGCGTGAACTCAACAACAGTAAAAGGGGAGGACGGTGCCTCCTGCGACCACCTCGTCTCCGACTGATGTGTGTGCGACGCACGCCACCCGCATGCACACACAAGCCTCGAGCAAGAAAACAAAGAAGAGACGCACGACACTCCACTTACATACTCTCACAAACTCTCCCACACACGTGCACACACTCTCATCCACACATCCACACATACACATCAAAGATCCCCCATAAAGCCTTAACAGACTGTTGGGGCAAATGCTGTTAGCGAGCACCTATAAAGGCCGGCGCGGCACACGATGGGGTAGGTGGCCAACACCACGCCCGCCCGCCGTTGTTTCCCCAGTGGTGATGTTTACACATCACACCAGGTACTCATTTGAGGCTGAGTACACCTAGGGGAGACCAAACACAAGATAATCGTCACTGTGTTGGCCGTGAGTGGGAATAGCTGGTGTGGTGTGTAACAAAACATTAGGCAAAGGCGGCCAGGCGCGATGCTGGCCACCAACCCCCTCGTGTGCCGTGCCGGCCTTCATAGGTGCTCGCTAACAGCACTTGCCCCAACAGTCTGCTGAGCCTACAGGGCAATATTTGTCTTTGTCGCGGTGGTTCAGTGGTTTCGCGCACCGCGCTGAGTTCGATTCCTGGTCGTGGGTAACATCAGTGGCGAGTGGTGTCTGAACCTGTCTTGGGCCTCCAGTAGGTCGGCTCGACCTTCAATGAATACCTTGCGTATAGTGCGCAAACACGTATACAGATACACTCATGTACACACGATGTTACACACTCACACATACTCTCTCTCCCGTTCTTCACTTCGCAACAAAAACAACAACAACAATCATTCGCCACGAAGTGGCGGTGACGTCACCACGGCACTAGTGCCAGGCTAGGTGCATCGAACGCCCGCTGGCAGGAGGTCGTGGGTCAGACCCATGTGCCATGGGTTGATTGACTGAGATGACTTTACACACACGCAATACAATAAACCCTTTACACTCTTTCTCACGCAAACTTACACGACACTATAAAACACGTACACACTATCACAAACGCGTTTTGCACTCGCATGCACATGCAGTCACACTATATTTTACACACATCCACATTGATTCCGACACCTCATTTAAACTTTGAAATACACATACATTCTCCATTACACAAGACAAAGTTCCCCCTTAAAGCCTTCAAAGACCTTTGGGGCAAGTGCTGTTAGCGAGATAGGCACGATACACGAGGGTGTGGGTGGCCAGCACCCCACGCTCGACCACCTTTGTCTCCCCAGTGTCAATGTTTACTACACACTGCAATTTAAGGCTGAGTCGACCTAGAGGAGGCCCATGACCAGTTCAGATGAGCCCCACTTTTATTGATCATGAGTCGAAATTAAACTCGAGTCGCCAGGTTCATAGCGCAGTGCGCTCACTACTGGCGCCACCGCTCCATTACACACAAAGACAAAGACCTCCCGTATAGCCTTAACAGACTGTTGGGGCAAGTTCTGTTACACACACACTCTAACACACACATCACACGCACTCGTTACACTCACGAATACAATTACACGCGTCCACTCTATACTCACACAATCACACACTCACCTCACACTCCTTACACACTCACACTTTACACTGACCCAAACACACAAACACACTGCTTCGTACACACACTCACACGTTTTCTTTTGAGTCACAAACGTGTACATATGTGTGTGTATGTGTGTATTGTGTAGTTATTTACATATATGTACGCACTGTATGCGTGTGCCTTTGTGTGTGCGTGTATATACAGTTTGCATAAGTGTATCATGTATATGTGTAGTATGTTTGGGGTGCGGGAGAGTAGTGGTTAGCGCGCTGCTCAGCGAACCCGGCGACCTGAGTTCGATTTCGGCTCAGGGCCAATATCGACTCAAGCTTAAATGAGTATCTGGTTTAAAAAACACAATAGCACTGGGGATACAAAGACGGCCGGGCATGGTGCTGACCACCCACCCCCTCGTGTGCCGTGTTGGCCTTCAAATGTGCTCGCTAACAACACTTGCCCCAACGGTTCTGTTAAAGGCAAAAGGGAAAAAAACTGTTGTATTTTATTTGTACATGCGAACATGTGTGTGGGGAGCGGCCGTGCAGCGCTGCGTCACGAACCCGGCCGTTCGAGTTCCACAACCAGTGACAATGATCTAAACCGGTCTTGGGTAGTTCTCGCCTAGATCGACTGAGCCTTAAATTAGTACCGAATGTGGTGTGCAAAAAAAAAACACATTATAACTTTTGGAAACAAAAGCGGCCGGGCGTGGTGCTAGCCACCCACCCGCCTCGTGTCCGCCCCACCCCCTAACCCCTTTCATAGCTGCTCTCTCACAGCACTTGCCCCACCGGTCTGTTAAGGCGACACGGGGGACCTTTGTCTTTGTGTGGTAATGGGAGCGCGCACAGCCTCGGGGCCGCCGCCGTGCCGCCGCCACCACCACCGCCGCCGCCGCCTCGGCCAATGAGGAGGCGCTCCGCTCTGCTCTGCCCCCGATAAAAGGGGCCGTGCCGCGCGAACACCCCGACCCAGACCCCAGTGTCCGAGCCACGGGGCCCCTCTCGTGCCGAGCAGCGAGCGGGAACCACACGCCACAGCCCAGCCCCGCTGTTTTACACGAGGCTCGCTCTTCCATTGACACACGCGCGCGCGTGCGCGCACAGACACCGAGACGGACACAGGCGCGCCTGTCTGCCTGCCTGCGAAGTCTGTGCCGTCGGTCTGTCACGCGAAGCCAGCCGTCGTCACAATGACCGAGGTGTTCGAGTGCAGTTCAGCCGACCCGCGGCCGGACTTCATGAAGAGGGACGCCGACCTGTACGGACTGAACCACCACCACCACCACCAACAACAACAACAACACCTTCAGCAGCAGCAGCACCCTCATCATCATCATCACCCGCAGCACCACAGCCATCACCATCATCATCACCCGCAGGCGCAATCGTCGCCCACGCTGCCCGAGTCGTCTTCCACCGACTCCGGCTGCTACTACCACCCGTCTCCGTCGAGCGCCTATCAGGCGTACGGACCCTACTGCCCGCCGGCCGCCTACAACCAGACCCCGCTGAGCCCCTACGCGTACCACCAGCTGGGGCGCGGCGCGGATGCCCTTCACGCGGGGTACGGCGCTGTCAAGGCGTTCCCGGGACAGCGCGGCTACGGCGCCGCGGGAGGAGCGGCCGTGGGAGGGGGCAACGCTTACGAGGGCTTCACGCACGACGCGGCTGGGAAGACCAGCGAAGATGATGAAGGTGCGCGCGTGTGTGTGTGTGGGCTGTGAGTCAGTCAGTCACTGTGTGTGTGTGGGCTGTGAGCCAGTCAGTCAGTCACTGTGTGTGTGTGTGGGCTGTGAGCCAGTCAGTCAGTCACTGTGTGTGTGGGTTGTGAGTCAGTCAGTCAGTCACTGTGTGTGTGTGGGCTGTGAGTCAGTCAGTCAGTCACTGTGTGTGTGTGTGTGGGCTTTGAGTCAGTCAGTCACTGTGTGTGTGTGTGGGCTGTGAGTCAGTCAGTCACTGTGTGTGTGTGTGGGCTGTGAGCCAGTCAGTCAGTCACTCTGTGTGTGTGGGCTGTGAGCCAGTCAGTCAGTCACTGTGTGTGTGTGGGCTGTGAGCCAGTCAGTCAGTCACTGTGTGTGTGTGGGCTGTGAGTCAGTCAGTCAGTCACTGTGTGTGTGTGTAGTGGGGCGGGGAGGGGTAGCTGTCCTTGGGCCTCCTCTAAGTCGGCTCAGCCTTAATTGAGTACCTGGTGCGACTAGGGTATGCAAAGACGGCCGGGCGCGTGATGATGATGCTGGTCGTGCATATCCACTCATACACTCATAGCACTTTCCCCAACGGTCTGTTAAATTTTTATATGGGGGGGGGGGGGGGGGGTATTTGTATTTGCATCGTTCTGTGTCGTATACTACCGGCGCGTGTGTCTACACGCCTGCGTCTGTTGTATGCCCATCTGTATGTGTTTCTCTGTCTGTCGCCGTGTCTGCTTGTGTGAGTCCGCATGTTTAGATGCGTGCTTCTTTGTGTATTCCGATGCATCTGTGTGTACGTGTATCTTGTTTGTGTGGGGGCGGGGGGGGGGATATCGCGCTGCGCTACGAACCCAGCCTCCCGAGTTCGATTCCTGCTCGCGGCCAGAAACAGTGACGATTATCTGAACCGGTCTTGGGCCTCCTCTAGGTCGACTCAGCCTCAAATGAGTAGCTTGTGCGATATATGTATGTTGAACTTCTTTCGCACCGTACGTAGCCAACCATGCCAATCGGAGGAAGGACAACTAAAACGTCGCCACTGGGGAGACAAAGGCGTTCGGGCGTGGTGCTGGCCAGCCACACCCTCGTGTATACCATGCCGGCCTTGGTACATTATAGGTTGCTACTCGCTAACGGCACTTGATCCAACAGTCTATACGGGGGTTGTTTATCTTTGAAACGTTCGCACCCGTTGTCATCTGTGCCACCGAACATTCCAAGGTGTTGTCCACAATTCGCCAAACTCACGCGTTCAGCCGAGACGCTGCATCTCGTCGCAAAGCGAGACCCACGTCAGTAGCCGCAATAGCTTCTTAAACTTGAAGAGCTATCTGAACTTTAACATCCATCTCCGACAAATGTGTTTCGGCTTACGTCACGGTGTGTGTGTGTGCCCGCACGCGTGTTCTCGCTGACAGCACTTGTCCCAACAGTATGTTGCGTGTATCATCGTCATCAGGCATGATCGATCCACTGCTGGATGAAGGACTTTGCGTACATGTGTGTGCACAAAGACAAATATCACCCGTAAAGGCGACATCGCTCTGTTGGGACAAGTGCGGTTCGCGCGAGCAAGATGCACCGTATGCAGAGAGTGGCGGCGCAGTGGATCGGACGCTGCGCCTCGAATCTGGCGACATGAGTTCAATTCCAGGCCACGGTTAACATCACTGATGAGTGATGTCTGAAGCGGTCCTGAGCCTCCCCTAGGTCGACTCAGCTTTAAATAATTATCTGGTACGGTGTGCTGTTGTGGGAATAATAGCAACTGCTTGTGCGCCGTACCGGCCTTGATAGGTGCTTGCTAACTTAACTGTCACCAACAGTTTATATGACCATGCGTGGGATGCTGGTTTGTTTATTTTTGTTTAAGTGGACACCCGTGTGGTCTATTACACGCAGTATATTTTCAACTATATATGTGCACATTCTCCGCTTCAGTGAGCAGGTTTGTTTACTGCCGCTCAGAGAAAATCTGCATCTCGACGTTTTGGTCGACTGGCCTCCTTCAGGAAACCCGGACTGTGTTTATGAATCCCTATTTGCAACGATTAAACTCACCACGAAACAACGTGATTTAAAGTCGCGAAGGTACGCGCACATTCAAATTGAATACACATTTGCTGAAGGGCAAGCTCAAAGGCCCACAACGCTATGCGGATAGCAACAAAGAAGAACTTTAGAAGATGCGGTCGAAAATAGTTAATACGTATTATTAGAATCGAGAGAGGTCGCACAGAATGTTTTTTTTTATTTCAAGACGCTAAACAACAACAAGAGTATAATCGCACGCGCCATCTCTCTAATCGCCACCGCATTGTACGCTCAGAATACAAAGACCCCCCGTATAGCCTCAACATACTTTTGGGGCAAGTTCTATGAAAGGCCGGAACGGCACACGAGGGGATGGGTGACCAGCACGACACCCAACCGCCTCTGTCTCCCGAGTGGCGATGTTTGCACACCGCACCAGGTGCCCATTTGAGACTAAGTCAAGCTAGGGAATGTCCAGGACCGGTTCCGATAAGAATCATCATTGGCGTTGGCCACGCACGCACATACTCGCGCTCGCACACGGTCTCGAACTCACATGTCCCGCGTGATGTGCCGTGGCCTTCGGCGCAGCGGCGGACAAAGACGACGAGGAGGAGGAGGAGTCGAGGCAGAGTGGAGTGCGCATGGTGAACGGGAAACCAAAGAAGATCCGCAAGCCGCGCACCATCTACTCGAGCTTCCAGCTCGCCGCGCTGCAGCGCCGCTTCCAGCAGACGCAGTACCTGGCGTTGCCCGAACGCGCCGAACTCGCTGCCTCCATGGGACTCACGCAGACTCAGGTGCGGTACGAGTGAGTTGTTCGACTCTCCCCTTTATGTTTCTGCCGGCGCGGTGGAGTGAAGGGAAGAAGATGTCAACGTTTCATCGCCACCCCCCAACCAAACACCACCCCTCCCGCACCCCAATAACGCGCCGCGACGTTCCGTGCGTTGCCGCTTCTGCATGCGTGAATCGGGATGCTCTCGCTGTGTGTGTATAAGCATATGGAGAGTTCTTGCCAATAACATCCGCTAACTCCGACGGCGTTTGTCTGTTGAACGAGTGTGAGTTTGCCGATTAGAACCCCCGTGATTTTCCTAAACCGGTGTACAGTTTGCTCCCTGGTACACATTCCGCTTGATGATGTTGGATCTGAAAAGCTAACAGGCTGATAAATTAAATGGTTGGTTTGTAACGTGTGCGTTGCTTATGGATAACAGTACTCTTGTTTGGCAAGACGCCTCGCTGTTGTACGCCTTTGCGAGTGTGTATATTCGTCACGGTCGATCCGTCAGTTAAGTTTATGTCACTCAGAGTTGAGCGAGGGCTCATTCCGAGTGAAAGGAGCTCAGGGGACGATGGCACAGATGACGGGTTATTAAGTCCACCTATGGGAGGCCCAGGACCGGTTCAGATAATCGTCGACCGATAAGTAAAAACACAACTACAGTGAGCCAGATATTTTAACCACAGCTTGATCTTATGGGAATATATGTGCTCCTGAAGAAGGGCCTATGCCCGAAACGCCGCTAGTTGTGTTTCCTTTTAATGCCACAGTATTATTGACGAATGTGTTGATGAAAAATAGCTTCCATGAGATTTTTTTTGCGAATGTTAAATTTTCTTCCTCTTCATTTATTGTTTTGTTTTCTTGAGAGTTAGCAATAATTGTGTGAAATTAGTAAAAGTCCAGTAATATATGGGTGGTGGGGGGGTTAGAGTTATTTTTGGGCAAGCAGGTTAAGCCGAGAATCAACGACACTACAATTTGTATTTTATTTTACCAGGTAAGGCCCACCACTGAGCTATACTATAGCTCTGTTTAACACGTAGGCTTTCGCGACCAATATTATTCATAATAAATGTGTTTGGGTTAGATCGCGTTATTTATAAATGTGTCGTAACCCTCCACCACCCGACACGGCTAATCAGCAAAAAAGTGTCACGTTGACAAAAGACAAATAGTTCACTACTTTAGTCCACCGGTGTGTTGAAGAGTGAAACCACAACATTTACAATTTATGAGTACGACGTTTCGCTGGTAATTGCATCCAGCATCATCGGGCAATTCGCCACTATAGCTCTCTTTCAGAAGCGTGCTGACTATCGCAAACGATAGCATCCAAGCACTCGAAATGAATTAATGACCGCTTCGTGGTTTAACACGGCACTCCCAGTCTCGGGAATTGACGCTGAAGCCTAAGCACACGAATCTGTATCGTGAGTCTCCATCAACGGCATTGTATCTCTCTGACACTCACAAATGTGCCCATCCTATGCTTGTCTGTGCGTGTATTCATAACGTTGCGCGCGTATATATATACGTCGTGAGCGCTTATGTCCAAATAGATATTTGTGTGCGTGATAATAGAATAACTTTGGACAATAATACAAGTTAAAGAGAATTCAAAAGAATCTCTACCAGAAGCGACAAACGCATATTGGCCGTCTAGCGACGAACGCATATTATACATATAGATCACATCACCGATGCTATTTATTAATGTATTCATAAAAATAGTCATTGAGTCGTACCAAGACCTTTTATAAAAGAGGGCTTTATATTTCACGCGATGTTTGGCAATTGCCAGCAATGAGCTGCCTTGCTTCATGCGGGACGAAACTGGAGGAGTGTACGCGGGGAGGGTACACCCATCACGGTACACCACAGGGGAGGGCAGTAACACCCGAAGATCCGCACAGATTGATTCAAATAGTCGAATCCAGGCCCTGCCACCTCGTGGCTAGTTTGAGTGGCTCGCGTCTCGAGACTCGCTGTGAAATGCGCCGTGGCCCCGGTGGTCGCGAGTGGTGGAGGGAGTGGAGACACAAGGCTCAAGGTTGTTTGATTCAATTTATCCTCGCTGGGCGTCTTGATGAACCCCTTGGCAGCTGTTGCATTTAGAGGGTGGAGGAGGGGGGGGGGATTTATGAACAAATGCACACAGATTTAAATATACACATATATAAACCGACGTCGTCATCATCATCACCGTCGGCGATCATCATCATACACGATTGATACATTCGCCGATACGACGCTTTTCGATGGAGACGGATGTCGGGAAGTACGATCGATCCAGCGGTGGTTTGGTTATTGGTGATGTCGCTTCGTAAGGAATCACGCGTACAATGTAACGTTTGTGTGTATACATGCGAGGTTGTGTCCTGGGTCGACAGCGTGTCGGTTTCTGTGTTTGTGTGTCGGTTTACGTGCTGGTGTATGTGTTTGCGTGCCGGTGTATGTGTTAGTGTGTCGGTTTATGTGTTTGCGTGTTGGTGTATGTGTGTTGTGTGTTGCTTTGTGTGTTTGTGTGTTGATTTGTTTGCGTGTTGATTAATACGTTTACGTGTGCGTACAATATTTTAAAGCTCGTTGCATTGTTACGTACCGCGTTGCATTGGTACGTATCGCGATGGGCGTCTCTTCTCGGCCGCGTTTGGTTTTCGTGTCGCGGTTTCCGTGGAAGCTTCGCCGTGTAGTCAGGGACGCGCGCCCATTACTCTCACACAGTCGAGACGCTTCGTATGAGTTTAATACCCGGTCCTGTCGGTCGTCGCAACTCCAACACACCACCATCCTATAGCGCCATTGACGCCGCGGGTGGAGTTTACCATACTGTCTAGAAAATAAACTCAACATTTGGAATATTAAATAAATAGCAATCCCCCCCCATTTCCCCGCCGCCGCGAGAATGTGGAATTTCCACTCATTTACCCAGGACCGCCAACGATTTACGAGCGCCCCATTCATTGCTTTGCGTGCGAGGAGAGAGACGCTTTGGACACTTTTACTTGCGGAGATAAATCCTGGGCCAACCGATTGTGCTGATTTACAACTTACACAAGCACATTCGGGTACCGATATTAAAACGGATTAGTTTTGTTATTATTAGCATCATCACCAGCACTGCTACAGTGTTACCTTCGGAAACCTGTTTTTTTTTGCTCCTACTCATTCCCGGCGTTTGCTCAGCCCCTGGTCCCCGCCTCGTCTCGTGCGTTACTGCAGCAGCAGCATCAGCAGCAGGCGGGCTGCCTGCCAGGGGCAAGTTGGAGGATGCAGCTCTTAAAGTGTTTTTTGCCGAACTTTTATGGCCAATTCGTGCGCAACGCGAACGCGGGTTTGACGAGTCAGGAAACTCACGGTTGTGACTTAAAATTAAGATTTAGCCGTGTGCACGTTTGGCTGTGTGTGTGTGTATGTACCGTATATGCGCGCTTGTGTGTATGTCTTTGTTTGTCCGTCGTTGTGGGGGAGCGGTGGTGCAGCGCTTAGCGCGCCACGCTGCGAACCCGACGAGTTCGCGAATTCACTTCCCGTTCACGTCCACCAACACCCAGTGACGATTATCTCAACCGGTCCTGGGCCTCCCCTAGTCCGACTCAGCATCAGACGAGTACCTGGTGCGGTGTGTCAAAAACATTGCGCAGTGGGGAGGCAAAGGCGGCACGGATGTGATGCTGGCCAACCCACCTCCTCGTGTGTGCGTTGCCGACCTTCATAGGTGCTCGCCAACAACACTTGCCCCAGCAGTCTGCTTGGTCTTTGTGTGTGTGGTGGGTGTAAATAGCTGACCGCGTGCTGTAGGCAACATTGCGCATAGCCGTCTGCAGTTTCCAGCCGTGTTTATTTGCGGGGCATGCCACCTGTGTTGAGACGTGCGCTGAATTAAGATCGCCGTAATTAGACAACGCGATGCTTGCGGTTTAAATTGGACCGCGCTAGAATACACGGAGTAATTTATTCACACGTTTGTGCTTTCGTGACTCGTCACTTGTCGGACAGGCGAGGCTTACTACTTACACGCACGCGTAATAATTGCGATAAAAATGTGTATTTCAATATTATATTTCTATGTTGTGGATAACAGCGCAATTAACTCTAAATATACGATATGAAATGTTAATATTTTAAGATGTGTGACCGAGACGATTTAATGTTGTGTATATCTGTGCATTTATATATATATATATGAACGTACCTAATTTAACCAGCTTATACATTGGTCACTATTTAATTTATCTACATAAATGTATATTTAACGACGAAAAATGTATCACATTGCAACGTGCATTTGTATTTAAAAAATGTCAATGTACTTTCAGACTGCAAAACAATAATTGTGAATACTAAATATGGCGCGTATTTGCACATTAAGGACAAAATTAATATATATATACCAATAACACAACTATCACACAAAGTCGGTTGGGGCAAGTGCTGTGAACGAGCACCTGATAAAGGCCGGAACGGCGCACGAGGGGGTGGGTAGCCAACACCACGCCCGACCGCCTTTATAACACACATTTATACCACACATGTACAGCATAGCAATTGCAATTTCTTCAACCCTTTGTCAAATCCACCGCTGAATGAATTTCTCTTCGCGCTGTGTCATTTATTCATGGTGGGATCGTTCCACACTCGACAGCAACGCGTTATGCGTGCATATTTAGATGTACTCCAGAGGACACGCAATCGAGTTTTCCGTTGAGATATATGAATGTCGCCAAGAGCACACGAACTGGAATGTTGAAATGTACTCGCACGTGCATAATGAACGTGCTCGCGCCAAAGAAGACTCGTCATGCAGTGCTGTATAAGTACTGTGTGTACGCGAGAATATCATCTCGGACATGCAACATTTAAAACCCCGCTCATTAGATACAGTATACAATGCTGTATTAATTACAGTGCTGAAATGTTTTTTTTGTATCCAAGCGTAATTGTAATTTCGTACAAGCAACCACATTCGGGGGTGGGTGAGGTTAGGGCACTGCTCTATTAACCCATCCATAGAAAAGACCGGTAAACTCTCATTGCACTAATTATTTACTTGTTGAAAATTTTACAATGGAGACTCGTCATGCAGTGCTGTACAAGTACTGTGCAAGTAAAAAAAATATCACATCATCATTAAACCTGCAAGATAATGGACAGCATAGCACAACGTATCAGGAGTATTCACAAGGCCCCAAATAATATAATATGGAGAGTAATCAAACGCAGTCCTTCTTGCCTCTATTTGCTCTGCAGAAGGGGCATTCCCCAAAACGTCAGCTTAGTAAATAATTTCTGTTATCGGATGGTGTTAATGGCGCAGGTATTGAGTTTTTTCCCATTTATCTTAATGCGAGATGAATACAAATTGTACACAGACAGTACATCATTTAGTGAAATAGCCGTCTACATATATATTACTTGGGTACCCGTTTATGTTACTTAGTTTTGCAGTCGGCCTACATGATACACAACTTTTATATTCAACACATACTTTGTTTTGTCTTCTAGCATGCGTCTCCGTTGTGTTGTACATGTTGCATTGTGCATTATGAATGAAAGGTGTTGGTCGTTGAATGGTTGTATGGATGATGATGATGACGATGATGGACGTTTGCTTGATGATGATAATAATTGAAGTGGTGATGATGTATCGTGTGTATGGATGACGATGGATATATGATGGATGTATGAATGGTGATGGATATATGGATGATGATGATGATGATGATTGCTGTTTGGACGAAAATAATGGCATGTATTGATGATGGCGATGTATGCATCATGGCACGAATGACGACTATGTAGAATTTACAAAGCATTATCATCAACATCCTCATATCTCACTCTCCTCACCCCCCAATTCATCCCATCCTTGCAACAGGTGAAGATCTGGTTCCAGAACCGGCGCTCCAAGTTCAAGAAGCTGGGCAAGAACGGCGAGGTGGCGCCTGCACACGCCAGCCCGAGCAGCAGCGATCCGATGGCCTGCAACTCCCCCGCATCTCCGGGTCGACAACACCAGCAACTCAGCTCTGCCGCCCCACACCTGCACGGAGTGCCAGCGCCCTGGGAGTCACCTTTGAGCCCCGCTGGGGGTCTAGGGGTCCCATCGGCCGCGCTGCAAGCCCCGCACCACCTCCCGCAGCACCCCTACTCACCCGTGCCGCCCTGGTACCTGCAGCACCAGCAGCACCAGCAGCATCAACAGCAGCAGCAGCAGCAGCAGCAACAGGAGCAGAGCGGAGGTCCCACCGCGTTCAGGCACAGTCCACCGTCACTGCTGGCGCTAGCGCAGCCGAATGTAAGTGGCGCCACTTCGGCAGTGTACTAACTTAACCAACGCGGTGTTCTAACGCACGTGTGCGTACGCACGCACATGTGCACACACACATACACGTGCACACGAGGCTGTGTGCAGCATGGAGCTGTGTGTTAGCACCCGCGGTGCTCGCGTGGTGAACTCTCCTATCCCGAGAGCCCCCCCCTGCCCCCCCGCATGAACCCCCCACATGAACCCCCCACAATTGTCCCACGCGGCAGATGAACAACCACTGCGTCGTTCTTATTCAAGAGGAAGGGTGCTCACTTTGAGGACAGGACTTTCCCGTTTATAATTATAGAGTGAGTGGATTAATGAGTCCGTCTTGGTTATTAGCGTTGCTAGCCTCAGGGAAGGGATGTTCTACAACGAGCCCACTCCTGCACGTAGATACGACTCGCCGCTAAGTGGTGGCGACGTCACCTCCGTGCTCGCCGCACCAGGCTAGGTGCACGTTGGGGGGGGGGTCAAGTGTGTCAAGAGGCAGAGGGTCACAGGCCAGACCCAGATGTTATGGGATGACTGACTGAGGTAACTGGCAGAGGCAGCGTCATCATCACCACATGGACCGCCTGTTGCTGCTCCTAGCTCACACGCACATACATACTCAAAGGCAAAGATCCCACGTGAAGGTGTTTTAACAGACTGTAGGAGCACACACACACAGACACGCGGGCTACGCGGAGCTCGTGTCAAAGACGCATGGAGCCTCATTTGTACAATGATCCAGCAGTGCCTTTTTTGGGTTGTACATGGAATTTCTAACTTAATCGGCGTGTACTCGCATCGTTTTTGTAAAATACAAGAATGTACATAGAGAACAATTGTTGAGATTGAACGAGGGGGGGAACAAATGTCAACACTTTGCGCATTACGATGTTTTGCATGTAACTTATTGATTCCTTTTAAGTGCCGCCGCGATTTGATTTTGTTACGGAACTCGCCGATTAATTTTGGTTTGTTTTTTGTGAAGCGGCGTCCCGTCACTTCGGTTACGATGTACATAGCTGCTGCTACTGCTGCTGCCGATGAAGCAACATCCTGTCGATGTACTCACAGACTGCACCATTTACGAATCGATGCATTAATAAAGATACGCGCTCTCTTTAAATCATGTCAGCTGGCATTTGTCTCCTGCTGCATACCACCCGCCTCTTGCCTACACGCTATATAGTGCCGTACACACGTATCTGTATATGGAGCGCCGCAGAGCTTGGGCAGTTGCTAGAGCCAACTTAACGCGTCGCTGCAACGCGCCCCGTCCGTCGCTGCGAGAGAGAATTACTATTACTATGCAGTATACGTATACTGTATATGCGCGTGTAGTTACTACACGCGCGGTGGTGAGCACGGCGCACTGTGAACCCGATCATCTAGGTTTGAATCCCGGCCACGGTTAACATCAGTGGCTCGTGCTATCTGAACCGGTTCTAATTTGACACAGCCTTCAAAAAATTAAGTGCCGGGTGCTCTGTGCACACATCAGCAACTGGGGCGGAGTGCTAGCCACGCCAGGAACCCCGTGCGTTCATACGCTCGCGTAATTACCCCCGAGCGCAAACCGTCACGAGGGAGGTCCTCATCCCGTCCGTGAATTGACGAAGGAGCTGACATTAATACAATTCGTTCTTTCGTATGTTGGCACGACTCACGTGACATCCATGCACTCATCAAGGTTGGTTATTACGATTCATAATTATGACTACAAAATGAGGGGGGAGGGGGTTTACACTCCAATATTTTGTTTTTATTATCACAATTAACATTTGCGGATAGTTTATAAATATATAAAAATATGTTTTACAAAAAAACTCATCTCACGCGGTGTACAATTTCAGCCGTGCCTATGTCAATGGAGCGCACTTGGGCGCATCGCACGTAACGCGGCGATGATACCGCTGGAAGGTCGTGCGTAGTTTACACCACGCAAACACGCACGCACGGCACGGCACAGCGCGCGCACGGACCGAGAGCACGGAGCGCGTAGCGGCATCACGTGGCAACTCGTCCGGAAAATCTGTTTCTAATTTTCGGTCGCTTTGAAGTGCTGCCCAGAGTCATGTGTTTTGAGAAAAACTACCGAGTCAAAATAAATATAAATATAAAAGTATACGGGGCTGTAGAAGCGTCGCTCCACGTGATGTCGGCGAATTCGCAAAATCCTTCCCTTGTCACGCAAACGTCTCTTCTCTTGTCGATCACGCGACCTAGTTTTCGCAGCTGCCGCTCCCCTCAGTCCCGACGGGGAAGTTGTCAACGAGCAAAAAAAGCCACCGGTGAAGACCAACGCCGACCATCGGAACCCTTCACAGCTACACCGAATATCCCCGACGTCCACCGGTTACCACACGGTTCCCGTAATCACGACAGCCACTGCCACGGCCAGGACTGCTTGGCAGAGACCGCAGGAATGGAGGGGTGAATCAGCACCTAGCCAGTTCATTATTGCGGATCGTACGGTCAAAGTCTGTCCACGTGCAGGTTCCAACACTGCCACGTCATCGATGGGCTCTGCTGGACAGGTTCCCGACACGGAGCAAGGCCGATGTGCGGCCAACCTTCACCGTTGGTGCCTTCATGACGATCTCCAGACATGCAGTTGTGGCTCTGTTAAAAAAAAAAACACACGCAACGTGGCATATCGTTAATGATGGCCCTCTAATTAGGTTCACCGGATGGCTACCGAGTGAGCTACACGCAGCCAGCGAGGACGCGACCGCGTGGCTCGGCGATTACGCACGTGCTGGATGAATCTGCCATTGCTGATTATTCGCTCGGTGCTGCTGCTGATGCATGGTTGAAGGGTCTCTGCTGAAGAACTCGCCTATTATTTCTTATTGTATGTGCAACAAAGAAGGGTCATTGATCGAAATTTCCACTTATTATCATTATCATTTTTTTCATTTTTAAGGCCTCAGTGTTTTTTTACGGTGTTGTGTTTTAAGTAATTTTATTATTTCTACTGTCGCAGTAGAAGCTGGTATTGAAACGGCAACCTTTGGATTGCCAGTACAGCGCGCTCACCACTACATCACGGAAGCTCCTCCGAATATATAACGTTTATAAATATAATGTGTAATGTTTTGCATAACTCAATTCCGTACCTCCACATATAAATAAACTACGCTTTATTCACTCGACATTGTCTTTCCAAACCAATATTATCCGTTATATTGTTTGGGTCTCGTTTCTGTGAAGCATTATTGGTGAAGAATACATAAGAACGGAGGTTTGCTTTGGAGGATACTAACATTTAATACATGTTGATTACTCTCTGTACCACTAAGCGCAGTGTTTCTAAATTGATCACCGTATGTATGTTGAATTTCTTTCGCACCGTACGTAGCCAACCGTGATAATCGGAGGTGCGGTGGAGAGCCAAAACACACTAAACATTAAAACAAATCCGAAGAAGTATGCAATAATCTATCACCTGCAATAATGGGAGGTTCTGGGTTTAGTTTCGACCGTTTGGTAAAGATGGTTACGCGTCCCGGACATCAAAACAATTGCGAGTGAGGAAATATGCTTCGCCTACAGAAGACGGTTCTTCGCCATCCGTGGTGATTTCACCTCGGGATGTTTCGCCAACCAATCGTGAGATCTTGCCAGGCCCCGCGCCAGTCTCCCCCCCCCAACCCCCTTTCCTCCTCTAGCATTATACTAATCGCGAGGTCTCACAGCGATGCGCACGTGCCAGCGCGCGCGCGGGCCCGCGTGGCGAAGTATGGTGCGGTGACACACAAGTGGTGAAATCTACTCCGAGCGACCTGGGAAGCCGTGGGGGAAGCCTTTCGTCTAGCAGTGGATTGAACATGGACGGGGTTTTAGGAGACGCAGGCAGCAAACTTTATCGACTACCGTTGACTATCTGAGATAAGCTCTATAGCCGGTGTTTGTATTTTATATATATACGTACATATGACAGCAGCAGAAGCAATTGTAACATTATATATAGATAACGATATAGCGACGTGAAGTAAATTTTGATTTCATGGTGTATTTAATGGATCTTTATTTAAAACATTAATGCATTCAACGTGTATTTAAAGACATTTGCGGGCGAGCTTGCATAAAGCAAATACTTACACCCGTACTGCACACATATACTGCACGAGTGCAGTACATGCTGCACGCAGAATTACTGCACACGTCCAAACTGCACATGTACTTACTGCACACGTACATACTGCACCAAGGCCGTAGCATTGGAGTCAACATTGGGGGGAACCACATCTTCCAGGGGGTCTGGGGGTCGTCGTCCCCCCAGAAAAAAAAAAATCTAAATTTAAAAATGAATTTCCTGCCATTTCCTAACACATAGGATGGACTTTTTATTTATTTTTAACAATAATGTCTAAGAGTGTATTGTATTACATTGCTCTGTTTTTTTCTTTTTTTTACCATTTCTTGTTTCATTGTATGTAATGACAGAGATTAGGGATTAATAAAGTACAACCATAACCACAATAATATAAACAGAAATTTATTTTATAGCAATATATTGGGGGGCACATTTTGAGCATATTTGAATATTGGGGGGGATGTTTGTCCCCCAATATATATTATAATTACGGCCTTGTACTGCACGCGTACTTAGGGGCCATCCATTTAGTACGTACGCATGGAGGGGGGGAGAGGGGGGCTTAACCCAAATGCGTACGCTTGCGTATGGGGGGGTCTACTGACAATGTATGTAGCATAGGAAACGGGGGGGGTGGGGATGAAGCCTCGATAATAATTTGTCTACATTGTCCTTCAAATGAGCCACAGTTCAGTTTCTTCAGCTGTCAGACAACGAGTACTACCGGGAGAAGTGGGACTGTGGGAGAGGTGTCACTCGTGTGCCACCACCGTGCCCCTGATTGCTAGCTGTCACGCTGCTGTGCTTCAAGCCTGACACTGCGCGTGTTGACGAAACCCCTAGGACACGTCACCTGGCCGACTGGGTTCAGTCGGCGTTTGAACCGAGCGGACACAAGACAAACGTTTTACAGGTACGCAACTTAATTCTTCAATGCAGCCGGCGGTGGACTGTCTGTTTGCTTAAACACGTTAATATTGTTAATCCTTTATCGTTTCTGCGTGGATTAAATATCGGCGGTTTTATAGGATTCGGGGGGGGGGGTGGTCAAGCGTACGTACGCAGGTAGGGGAGGTGGGGAGGGGTCAAGTTTTGACAGATGTTTGCGTACGTACTCAATGGATGGCCCCTTACTGCACTCATACATAGTGCACGCGTACTGGCTGCACACGTACACACTGCACTCGCACTGCACTAATGCGTGCCGCGTGTGCAGCAGAGTCCAGGTGGCCATGTGCACGCAATCTCTTGCAAGCGTGCAGGTGACTTTACCTGAGACTCTCTCACTCTCTCTCTCCTACGCTACGATGTACAATGAATGCACTTCACGCAATAATATTCCACAGGCCTCTGTTTGCCAAAGGATTCGGTCTGATTTGTGAGTCCGAAGATGGGATCGCACGGGGAACGAGTTCGTAGCGGTTAGCGCGTTGCGCTACGAACCCGGCCATCCGAGTTCTATTCCCGACCACATCCACCAACACCATCTGTGACGATTATCTGAACCGGTCCTGGGCCTTCCCTAAGTCGACTCGGCCTCAAATGAGTGTCTCCAAAGGCGGCCGGGCGTGCTGCTGTCCAACCCACTCCCTAATGGACCGTTCCGGCCTTTCGGAGGTGCTCGTTATAACAGCCCTTGCCCCAACATTATATTTAGTCTGTATCAGGGGGATCTTTATGTGACAACAAGCCTTGTTGTCGGTCTATGTCTGGATGAAGGTGGAGGGAGTGGGGGGGGGGAATGGGAGGTGTTTTATTTCTCTACTGCAGGGCTCAAAGACACACGCCCACACACGCACCCCTTCCTCGTCTGTCGTGAATTGTATTCTACGCAGATCAAATATGCAGTGCATATTGGATGGGCTTAGCGAGCAGTTAATATTTGAGCCAGGCGAATCCCGCAGACGGAACATGGCAGGGATGCCCGGCGCATTATCACGTGTCGTTACAGGCTACAGCAACAGCAACAAAAACAACAGCAGCAACAACAACATCAACAACAACAGCAACAACAGCAGCAACAACAACAACAGCAACAACAACAGCAACAACAACAACAGCAGCAGCAGCAACAACAGCAGCAGCAGCAGCAACAGCAGCAACAACAACAGCAGCAACAACAACAGCAACAACAACAGCAGCGACAACAGCAACAACAGCAGCAGCAGGGACCCTGCTTCTCTCTCAACACCCCTCGTGGGTGCTGTCGAGGTGTTCGCTGTCTCGTGCGAGCGAGTGCTCGGAAACGCACGGAGGTTGGCCTCTGGGGTGTGGGGGGTGGGGGATTATTCCGCGAGTAAAGAGGCCCAGAGGCTGATGATGTAAGGAGGAGGTGAGGCGAGGAGGTGGGAGGGCGGTGCGAGAGGGGCAGGGTGGCGGGGCGACTTGAATGTAAATAAGGCAAATGAGCACGTTGGGACACATCCGCTGTGCTCATTTGCTCTGAATCAGGACCGTGGCCCGAAACGTTAGCCGCGAACTGTTGCGTAGCATTGTAAAGAGAGTACGATACTATTTATTACCAATTTAGCTCGTTGAATTAGTCGTGGCAGGAAATATTATATACACACACACTGCACGGTATTACGTCAATCCGTAAAACACGTTTGTGAATGGTGATAGCGAGCGTTTCGTTTTCTCTTCAGCGTGTACAATTCTCACTTAAAACTGTCGTGACTGCAGGAATTCATATTCTTTGGTTCTGTCTGGAATAAAAAATATCGCGACGTTTCGTGTGTCGCGATCGAAACGTCGTGATATTTTTATTCACTTTATTTGTTATTAATATTTGTTTCGATCTACGTGACTTTACCGAAAGAATCAAGAGTGTTTCATTTGACACCCTGTGTTATTCAGCAACGGCGATGCTACCAAACGCAGGAACACTTTTGCTTTTGTTGTGGTGACTATGGATGAGGTTCATGCCATTGGTGTTGTGTGCGGACCCGAAGCTGAAGAGACCATCACGGTTCTGTGTATCTAAGGCTGCCTCCAATGACAAATATCCCCCGTGTAGCTTACATAGACTTTTGGGGAAAGTGCAGTTAAAGAGCACCTATGACTGTCGGCACGGCACACGAGGGTTTGGTGTTGCCAGAACCATGTACGCAAGGCTGCCTTTGTTCACACCCCCCCCCCTCCAATGTTGATGTTTACATACCAAGACCCAATTCAGATATTCGTCGCTGCTGTTGACCGAGAGCGGGAATCGAACCTAGGTTGCACTGGTTCGTAACTCGGTGCGCTAACCACTCCAGCTACCGTTTTTGTTTGTTGCGGTAGCACCCGCGTCAAGAGCCTCATGGCTCACCGGGCTACACATAATAGATGAAACTGAAATGAAAAAAACGCTCCCCACAAAACCTTTAACGCACGCGCGCGCGCGTGCAGAACACGCACGCATGGGCGCGCAGTATTTTTACATTAAACGCGACCTTCCCCTGCGGAGCAAATGGAAGCACTTGCGTGCATGCGAGAAACTCGATAGCGGCCGGTCAGACCGTGGTCTTACACACAGGGGTCACTACAATTAATTGTGAACACGAGATGGGCACACGTTCTATATACCCAACGGGGTCAGCACACATGTGCATTGTGAACACGAGATGGGCACGCGTTCTATACACACACAGGGTCAACACACACGTGTATTGTGAATACGAGATGGTGACGCCTCCTACACACACACACACTGTTCACCTGTTATGTCATTAGGACATTACGTATCCTCTAACGCACGCTTCATGAATACACATCCCGTGTACATGGGACGCAAATATACACCCTG